AATTTAGCTTCATTGTTCTAAAATTTGGGCTAAGACACAGTGAAGCAGATCATTCAGTCTTTTATTGTCATACATCTCTGGGTAAATGTGTTTACTTAATAGTATATGTTGATGATATAGCCATTACAAGAAATGATACTGTTGGAATATCTCAACTGAAGGAGTACTTGTGCAGACATTTTCAAACCAAGGATTTGGGAAGCCTAAAATACTTCTTGGGCATTGAAGTAGATAAATCAAAAGAAGGAGTTGTAATCTCTCAGAGAAAATATGCTCTTGATATATTACAAGAAACAGGTATGATTGACTGTAGATAGTCCTATGTACCCAAATCAAAAATTAACAACAGAAGAAGGTGAAGTATTCTCTGATCTAGAGAGATATAGGAGGCTGGTCGGAAAACTAATTTATCTCCCTATTACAAGGCCTAATCTATCTTTTGCAGTTGAAGTGGTTAGTCAGTTTATGTAGGTTCCATGTGTTGGCCATTGGAATGCTATCATTCGCATTCTAAGGTACCTCAAAAAGGCTCCCGGGCAAGGATTGTTATATGAAGATAAAGGAAGCATTCAGGTCACTAGGTACTGTGATGTAGATTGGGTGGGTTCATTTGTTGACAGATGATCTACTACTGAATATTGTGTCTTCCTTTGAGGAAACATTATTTCATGGAAAAGTAAGAAACAAAATGTAGTGGCTTGATCGACAGCTGAAGCTGAATATAGAACAATGGCGTCATTAACTTGTGAACTTATATAGGTGAAGCAGTTCATTCAAGAGCTTAACTTTTGTGATATCCAGACTATGAAGATATATTGTGATAATCAAGATGCTCTCCACATTGCATCAAATCATGTGTTTCACGAGAGAACTAAATATATAGAAATTGATTGTCACTTTGTTTGTGAAAAGTTGTTGAGAAAAGAAATATGTACCGAGTTTGTTGGATCAAATGACCAACTCGCAGATGTGTTTACCAAGTCCTTAAGGGGACTTCGGATTAAGTTCATTTGTTCCAAGTTTGGTACATACAATTTGTATGCTCCAGCTTGAGGGGGTAGTGTTGGAATAGATTAGAAAAGAAAAAAAAAATATATATATATATATATATATATATAATCATTATACCTAAGGTAGTGGGTTAAGTGTTAGATAATCTTTGCACCTAGTTCTGAGGAGTAGTCTAGGACTATACATTTAATGTAATCTCCCTATTGTATTAGTTTTTATTTATATAAATAGAGAACCATGAGAGGGGTTCTTCAAGCCCTCTAAAAACACTTTTTCTCTATTTTGAATATCAAGTGCAAGATTTCGGGATAATGTTGGAGGGTGACCTTTAGAGAGGAAAGGTGTAAAGGCCACAATAAGAAATGGGGATGGAGATGGATTAAGTGGCACAACTGGGGACAGGGATAGGCTAAGTGGCATAGTTGAGAATCTCATTTGTATTAGACCATGCTTAAAATTTATATAACAAAGGAAAAATTGTTGATTGTTGTCTTGTAAAGTAGAAGAAAGGAAAATAAAATTAGAATAAAGAGAGAATTTGTGAAAATTGGTTATGCAATTCATGTTAAAGTAATCACCCTAAGGGATTATTGAAGTGGTTATTGACTCATTCCAATCTCTCCACACATGCTCACGAAGGCATGACTCATTAGGAATGACTCCCTCAAGTTGACCTCTATGCATTGTGTACACACTATGGATTCCGTCAATTCCCTTGTATACTGATTAACATCATGTTTTTTCTCAAAACAAACAACGTCACCCACTAGGACATGGAATTGATTTCATGTATTTGGGTTTTCTACTAAATCTAAGAGTAGGATGTAAGATTAGTAGACAACGACTAAGTTATGATACTCCTTCTGACTACTTCATTTTAAATGGTTATTTGACAAAGTTTGTGTCACTTTCTTAGGTTTGTGGCTAACACAACAAAGTGGAAAGAGTTTAAGTAATTGTGAGAACATTTGCATGTCTCTTATCAACTAAGGACCAATGTTGAGAGATGGATAATATTTTAAGATTCAATTTAAACATAAATTGGGGTAGAAATTGTATTATTCATTCCATGCCTGATTTTTTAAATTGAGAAAAATTTGAACTCATAATAATATGATCAATTCAATTTTTCATTATCAATCTCGAAACAAAAACATATAGTTCTCAATAATATAAATTTGATTGTCATTTTTAATTCAAAGTTATTGTGCATTAAGTTCTTTTTGTGACAAATCTTTACTAATCTTTCATTTTATAACTCATCTTGTACATTTCTTTATTTGCATTTAGGTGAATCTTCTTTCCTTTATAATACTATTAGAGTTTCTTATATGTAAAAATGAGGGTGTAATTTTTTATTTTTATTTTTTCCTTAACCCCTTCTTAGTAATTTCTTTTTTACTTATCATAAACTATAAATAAAATTTATTACTACACAATAATTTAGGAATATAATTTAAAAATAGCATAAAAAAGTTCTAATTTTATCGTAACCAAACGTATAAAAATTAAGAATTAATAAGTTTTAAGTATTAAATATATAATCTATTTTTGTTTTAAGTATATTTTTTTTAAAATGAAGTAGCAAATAAATTATAAAATGATTTAAGTTACGGACAAAAAATTACTATGTCTACTTATTTTAAGTGATCCCTAAAATATCTTTCGAGGTCCCTCAACTTACTTTTTTATCATAATAATAAATATTTTATTATTATTCTATGATAACGTATTCTCTAAGTATTAGTAACAAAGACATCGGGTCGCATAGATTGGTTGAAAGGTCTGAAAGAGAACATTGTTTTAGGGGGAATGATGTCAGTTGGTACCGGATTCAAAAGAATAATACACCGTTCAAAGCAATGGCACTATAACAAGATTACCTCGGAAACAAAAAAAAGAATTTATTCGAGGACAAAATGAGAGATATTTTGTTTCACCTCGAATAAATTCTTTTTTTTGTTTCAAAGAATTTATGTGATACATCAAAGCAATCTAAGATTTCATAATTCCTAAAATAATGATTCTTAAGGTCGCATTCATCTCCGGTCACTTTATTTTGTATATATTAATAAAGTGAATAATCATATTCAATTCAATAGAAAAAATGGCCCGATTATTTATCACTAAAAACAAAATTGCTATTACATACGACTACAGTTCGTAAGTAATGATTCAAAATCGCTATACAATCTTAGTAACATTTTTTTTTTTTCAATTGAGACATTTTTTTAGTATTATCATTAGATGATTGTGGACAAGAGAAAAGAGACCAGTATCTTATCACAATTCACGTACAAAATATCTGCAATTTATATCATTATCAAGGAATCAAAATCTTTGTTCTTGTGTTTTTTAAACAAAAGAATTGTGATTAATATTTTGCATATAAGAATTTAATCATTAAATTTATAAAATCATTCGATTTAATGCGATCTCTTTAAAAAAAAATCCATTTTTTAATTAAATAAATTCTTTAACTTGAAAGTATAGAGATTTTGATCATGTGGAGTAAAAGTATAAGAACTGAAAACACTTTTTTTTTCTTATGTTTTTGGAATCTTTTAAAGTTAAGAGCAACGTCTGAAAGATGATACGGAATAATCAGATGCCTTATCTTTGGAATATTTATTTGAAAGTTAATATTCGAATATTAACTTTTCTTACTATATATATATATATATATATATATATATATATATATATATATATATATATAAATTATAAAACAAAAAACAAAATAATCTTTTAAATATAAATAAATTTATTATTATATTTTTCATTTTTATAAAAAATAATTATTATTATAATAAACATTATTTTTATTTTCACACATAATTTTATATTTATATCTTTTTCCCTCTCATCTTTTTATTTTCATACTTTCTTTGTCTCAATTTCAAATATTCATCTTTCTACTTTCATCTTTCGTTCTTTTTTTATCATTCTTCCACTTGCATACTTTTTTTCACAATTCATCTTACAACATAAATATTATAAATTTTTCTCTAATTTCCATATTTGTCTTGTTTTATTATTATTTTTGTTTATTATTATAATATATTATCATGTGTATTATTTGCTATCAATTAGTTAATTGTTTTAATAATTTATGATACTTAAATTAATATTAAAATGTGAAAAAAATTGAGTTTTAGAAATATATATAAAAATATCATATACTCATCTTTTAAGAGAAAAGAAAAAAATATCTGATAAAATAAATTTTAATTTATTAAATTTAAATTCAATATTTTAAAGATATTTTTCAATATTAAAAAATTATGTAATATATAATTGATTGTTTTTATAATAGGAAATATCATCCAAAAAACGAGACAAATATGATAATAAAAAAATAATAATCAAGGTTGAATATTTTGTGGGATAAAATTTAGTTTTAATGTCTAAGAAATAGATAATCGTTTTTATCACGTACTGAGAAAATATGTAAATAGAACATAAAGCAGGAGTGAAATGAGACATTTTCATAAAAAAAGAAAAAAAAATTTCATCTAACATATTTTCAAAAATAATAGAAAAAGAGGGAATAACTTAATTTAATAATTATTAAACCTATTTATTTATATTTATAATTTTGACTTTATAATTTAATAATTATTAAATATATTTATTTATATATTTAGAATTTGAACTATTTGTTTAATATATTTTAATAAATATTAAAATATATTATCATTTATTAATAAACTATTATTTAGGCTGATGAATATCTGTTACTCATAATTAAATTAGATATATGTGTGATTTTAAGAATATATATATATCATTTATCACAAAGCATATATTCTTGGAATAAAAAAAGAGAAATAATAACGATGGTTCAGAACTTTTATACATAGAATCAGATATGTTCCTTGGAATGAAAAAAGGAGAAGCAATAACAATGGTTCAGAACTTCAATAAATAGTATCAGACCCAAACGTTATCTTACTGAGAGCATTAGGAAAGATTAGTTAGGAAGAAAAATGGGGGCTTATCCATCTCAGTTTGAGGAACGGCCAGGACGATGGTCACAGCCACGGCGGCAAGGACGTGCACGTATCAGAAGGGAAGGCAGCACAAAATCCTCCCAGAATACCACAAAGATAGTAGATAAAGCCACAAAACTCGGTGAAACTCAATCCATGTTGCCTCCGAAACCCTCGAATCAAGAACCACACATGTATAAACATATACTGAATCTATTTGATAGTTCTTGCAGCTTGGAAAATCTGCCAGCTAATGGGGTGTTGTCAAGCAATAAAAGAAAGGCAAGTTCATATCATTTAGTATCAAAAGTTTCTCTTCTCCCTCATCACCCTTTCTCCCTTAGCTGACAATTTAAGTTAGCTCTTTATAGAAAATGGACATGTCTATATGACCATCTTTGGTAGAAGTTCAATTTAAACGAGTTTTATAGTTTTCATATATTGAACCAAACGTAAAAATTATCTTTGTTTTTCATATATAACTTTGCTTATTTTTTAGTTATTGGAGCTATCCTAGATTTTGCTGCTATTAGAGTTTGAGGTGATAATTCGATTTAAAATTTTCATTTACTGATTGAACAATCTTTAGTGAGTATCATTATTTGTGCACAGAGATATTGGGTAGAGAACAACATAAACTGTTTCAAGCTGTATGCAAGGGAACTCTCAATCATCTGGTCAGACGATCTTAAGTATTGGAAATGGGAACCTGACAAAGATGAAAGGTACACACATCTATCACCAATATTAAGTTTAGAGTTTCCCAACCAAAAAATGTAATCACAAGCAGATTTTACTGTTTGTTTTTACCTTCATACATACCAATTTTGTTATATATACATGCATACATACATATATATATATATATGTCTAGATAAACTTGTAATATGTATGTGTCTGTTGCAGTGACATAGAATTGGCTAAACTGAAAATGGTATGCTGGCTAGACGTGACAGGGAAATTTGACATTGGAATGCTCTCACCAGGAATTTTGTATCAAGTTTTGTTTTCTGTGATGTTGAATGATTCAGCTCAGGGGTGGGAACTTGATGTAAATTTCAGACTTACTCTTCCTGGAAATAAGTTAATAGATCGCAAGGAAAATTTGAAGTCGAAGCCAAAGAACACCTGGATAGATATTCTAGTTGGTGAGTTTACGACCTCTGATAAAGATGTTGGTGATATGAAGATCTCTATGTATGAACATGAAGGTGGCATGTGGAAGACTGGTCTTTCCATTCGAGGTGTTACCATCAAACCAAAAGAAGTAGGAAATGGAGTATAAGCAACGATAAACTGTTTCTGTCATGTGGTCGTGTATTGAATAAAAGTGATTTTGGTTTTTTAATTTAAACCTGCATACTTGAATAATTAGATGTGATTCCTTTTTAATAATTTTATTAAAATAATTGTATTACTCTTTATTATTTTTTATATGATTTAAATAATGTAACTTTTAAATGACGTGATTTATTATGTGTAATTTCATTTTAGATCATCTTCTATAACCTAGATTTAAAATATAACTTCTAGTTAATGTTGTTTTATATGGTCTATTTTTCGACATTTGCGTTTAAAGTTTTTTTTTTCTTTTTTCTGATCAATTTTAAATTGTTGCCAGATTTTATCTTGTCAAAATCATGAAAGTAATATCAAAGTTACTTATTAATTTATTATTTTTATCGTATTAAGTTTATTTTGTAAAAAAAAAAGTTATTAAGATCAACATGTTTGTATAATTTAAAATTTTTGTTTTTGCAAGAGTGCGAGATAAGACTCAAAAATCATTAAAAACAATATCAAAACCCAAAAAAGTATATAAATATTAAATATAATAATTTAAGATAATAGATCATGAATTTGATTTTTTTTTAAGTTAAAAAAAATAAATTAAAGACACCAGTGTTCAATAAATCAATTTGTTCATATTTATTATTGATATTTATGAGCCAAGTGTTGTATATTTTAGCTTAAGTCTTTAGTATTTTAATCATATTGTATCTTAACTTATTAGATGTTTTTTATTGTTGTTTTGTGTGTTTGTCTAAAAAAAACGCAGTTATATTGAACAAAAAAATATTGCAAAGACATTTGTTATAGATTATGGAAGAGTTTTATGGAAGAATGTTATGATTAATGACTAAAGTAGTTATATTTACTTACACATATAGATAAATGATATTTTTATCTTTTGTGGAACTATTTTTAATAATTATTATATTATCGTTAATCAGTATTTATGATATTTTATATATTTTTCTCCCCTAATATTTCCTTCTAGTTCGTCGCTATTCCTGAAGGTTAAAAGGATACGAGTGATTTAGATTTTATTTATTAGTAATGTTTCAATGTAAAATCCACACATAAAGTTAATGCATCAATGTTCTCTATTTTAATATCTAATGATTTCATCGTAATTTTATCATAAAATAAATAAATAAGCGAATTAGAAAAAAAAAAAAGTATTTAAAAATTACTACTGACCTTCACTCAAAATGTATCGAATTTAAGTCTATTGACATATATAATTTCTTTTAGTGCAATTTTTCAATATTTAGTCTCGAAAATCTTCCTATGGTGTTCAATATTTTAATAATATGTAGTAACTTTGTACATAGCATGCCACTCTTAACATAGGAAGTTAAGAATGCCATTGAGATATTCATTTTCATAACAGATACATACAATTTCAGGGAGGAATATTGCTCAGCGACATCAAGCGAATATTATATACAAAGAATGATAGAAGCTGATATTCATTTTCATGACTGATACAGGCGCTTCACAAATATCATATCATACATGAAACGGGGAGGAGTATGGCACATAAAATCAAACGAATATTCACTATATACAAGAGATACCAGCCATAATGAATTATATAGAAAGTATTCCCCCCACGTTACTCGTACTTCCACAGAATGTGATTCACGAGGCATCAACTGAAACAGCCAAAGCATTCAGCTGAACATGTTTACCCTCACTGTCTGAGTGAACAACGACCGTAGCATGAGCCTCAGAATAAGATTGATTGGCTCCTTCATGTGAAACTGATATGGAACACATTTTATCGGCTGTATTGCTTTGTTCATCTTGGTCCTTGGAAATAATTTCCCATTCCTCTTTTAGGGAAGCTACTTCTACACCCTTCTCTTTATACCTCTCCAGTTCAAAAGCAGTAGGTAGAATCACATAATCATTGAGGGGGTTGTAAAAGGGATCAGGATGTCCAGCTTTCAGCCAGTGCTTGAGAAGCCGGAATACATGTGGCTCACAAAGGATACCCCGATGTTCACCTGGCACTCCAACCCTTGCCTCGGCATTGAGACCATCAGCCTGCATTTAGGTTTAATCAAAATATATTTTGGGCTTTATCCCAATTACCACTAACACTTATGCTACATAATTGATACAATATCAAGAAAATTAATAAATATATACTTCAACATATCAATTGCAGAATTGTGTATAGGGAAATTAGCAAACCTTAGCTGATTCTATAGGAACTGTTCCATCTCCATCGACACATACGTATTTGGCCTGAATTTTATGAAAAGTAAGCATTAACAACCAAAGTAAAGAAAATTAACCAAATGATGACACGAGGGGGAATAATTTAAAAAGATTTATCATAAAAAATGTTCAATTAAACTGCACTTAAACTATATCACACTAGAGAGAAAAGACAGTGTCAATAATAGAACAAATATTATGAAATAATAAGAGAAAAAAAGGAAAGGAACGAGGAATGGGAAGCATCTATCTAAAAGAATTATTTCTTAAGTGATAACATTACGAAGAGAAGAAATTTCCACATTAAAGTCAGACATACCACAAGGGCTTTACAAATAAATTATTTACAATTACTAATTCCATTTACCAACACAGTTTATTGATTATATCCAATAAATACTAAAATAAATAGAACCAGACAAAATGAAGATGGACCCAGACTTTTCTTCAGTGTACTAATAATAATAATACTGTATTTTAAACTGGGGCAATCAATATTGTGTGCACCACCATAGCATTACAACTCTCCTTTGACACATAAAATGAATAGAGAAACATGTATTCAACAGAATCACAAAAGTTTTGACCTGGAAATAACGTAGCTGTTGCAGATCTGTGACTGGCTTGTCCCCACTCCCAAAACTGCAGAATAATAGTTGTGTAAAGCGATAGTCACATGTTTCCAAAAGAATTATAACATCTACATGCATTCACTAGTCCATTCTTAATACACTTCATAAATACCATTTCTAAGGTAACCATGGCAACATCCAAAGAATTGATAGAGGCATTACCAAACACTATGAGGTGTCTCAAGATTGGTCCCATAAATATTGTAAAATTTAACTTGCGAGGGAAGTTTGGCCGAAGATAGAATCTCCCATGTTTTGTTTGCCCAATTAAAGATATCCATGTTGAAAGGCAGGGGTAAATCCTCACCATCATAATTAACCTGGATCAAGATAGATATCAAACCAATCTAATTAGGCTGCATAACAATAAGCATCTTAGGTAACTAGATCTTGAAAAGCAACACTAGTACTCTTTAAATGCATTAATATATTCTTAAGAAATCCTCCACTTCTTTCCCCCGTCCCTGAAAAAAAAATGAGTAAATTAAATTCACACTCCCTATGGTTTTGTTAAATTTCTCCCCCATATCCCTCCTTTCTCCTAACTTCACTAACCCCCTTAATTGTCTTAAAAACATTACGCTGACATCCTTAATGCATCCTTAATGCATTACGCTGACGCCCTTTACACATTACCTAACTCCTTTTATTGTTTGAAAACCATCAAGGAAAGTTGTTGTAAACATTAAAAAGGTAGAAGGGTGTGTGCAATTCAGATGCGAAAAAATTCCAAGGGCGTTAGCGTAATTTACTCAATATATTTACTTAAACTAGGCGAGAATAGAAATTATGTGATGTTCCAAGTTCATCTCTAGATATGAAAAAGACAAAGCATCTCTATATTCTGATTTATTCCATTTCAAATTATCCATTAGTACATTTTAATAGTCAAAGGCAACAAGTGTTGAATGCTCCAAAAATCAAATTTTAAACCATAATACATTCAGTTTCATGGAAATGTCATACTCAAATTTAACCAAGTTCCATTAATTTGCATGCTGTACAAGTTAACACTGGTAACTCACCGTGTTATTTACAAGAGCTTGCTTCAAAATCTCAATGCTATCACATGGCGGATATGATTCCAGAACAGTGTGTGATTTCCCTTCAGAATCATGTCTCTCGCGCCACAATTCCAGGACAGGAACATGTTGCCATTGAAAATTAGGACAACCCCTCAGTTCATATATCGAAGGACATTCAATCAGCTGTAATTGGAACAAACTTCAATAAATAATTTACAATACTGAAGTATCTAAATACCAAAATCAGAAGGAGAGAACAGCAAGGGAGCAGCAAAAACAACAGAAACGGAACACACCATCCAACAACACATACAATGGAAAACCAGAGCATGTAGTCTATATCAAAAGACTATACAAGATGAAAGTCCAATCCAAGAATAAAATAACTTCTATAAAAATATCGGCGAAAACTATCATTATTGTTGAAAGTCCCACATCGCCTACCTCATATCATTTGATATGGTTTAAATACATGTTAGGCTACTCCACATATTGCCAATTGGTTTTATGTTGAAACCTTAACATGGTATCAGAGTCAAAGTCTAACATCTTTCCGGTTATTGTCATGGGCCAAAAGTTGCCCTTTAGTTGGGTCAAAAGTACCCTTTGCCTGGTCCGGCGGGCTTCGTTGGAGGGGGTGTGTTGAAAGTCTCACATCGCCTACCTCATATCATTTGATATGGTTTAAATACATGTTAGGCTACTCCACATATTGTCAATTGGTTTTATGTTGGAACCTTAATAATTATATTACTTTCTATCATATTAAGTCACTGAATTTTTTTTTTCTTCTAGTATAACCACAGATTTCAAAAGCATAGTTACGAATGGTGACAAGTAATTAAGCAATTAGGTTATTTGACTTGGATTTCAGGAAGATGTCAATCATCAGTGCTTATCAATATTTTCAGACTGGTTAATAAACACTTAATCTATCCACATTCCACACTATCACTGATTGATAAGGATATATCTGAGACAGTTAATAAACAAATTCAAAGCACAAATCCAGAAGACAAATAACTGATATGTACCAACTGGTGCATGCTCCATTTGGAAATATAAAGGCTTTGTTCCCATCCTTCCACAAATGACATTCCATTTAAAAAGGTCGAATTGATGTTTCCAGGTGCACCTGCAGAACAGTGTTCACGTACAAATACACCATTATGCACTTTCCATGGCAAAAAAAAAAAAAAGAAATTACTAAATTATGCATTGTTTTAAGTACAAATCATGTTTATTTAAGTCAAATCAAGAGAATTGATAGTGAGTGATCTATTGTGCACTAGTTTTTTCCTTCAACTATTTTAGCTAATGAAGAAAATATGGCATTGCCTTTAAATACACTAAACAAGGAAACAAATTTCTAACTGACCTATCATTATAAATTGCATTTAAAAGCTAAAAGAATCATTCATCAAATATCCTTAATTATAATCCAACACTTCTGATAAATACAAATCGTATTACTTACCCTGGAAAGGTGCAGCAATCGCAACCCAGTTGTTAACATATTTCTCAAAAATCTGAAAAAGACAACAAAAAGCGTGGTCATGTTTCAGCAGTAGATAAATTCCAAGATTGAAGTGTATAAACCATAAATTGATAAATATCAATGAAATATTAAATGGAAACTACAAAATAAAATAAAACTGAAATGAGAAGTTTAACAGATGTGTTACATCACTTTGCAGGCACATGAAACATTTCACCAAAAGACCACCCATAGAATGACTTATAATGTTTATCTTCTTCCCTCCTGCAGCATGATAAATTGATTCTAATTTTGCAGCCAACTGATCCATTGTTTCCTGCAGCCTAAACGAAATAAACAAAGAACTTGTAAGAAAAATTGCCTTCATTTTTTTAGAGTAAATACTTGTTAGAGACCTTATCCTTAGGATTGTGAGAAATCAAACCATCAGCAAACCAATAACCTAAAGATACACTGGAGAGACATGAATCAGATTAAATTCATTTGCACAATTACAGTTACTTTAGGCTATGCTTGTTTATCAGAATCTAGCTTCCTCATAAAACTGCTCTTTTGGAAATAATAATAACAAATTATACATATAGTGAATTTCTTACAAAGAATCAATTTCATCATAAAAATACATAGACTCAGTTTTCCATGCAGAAAGATGGCATTAAATAATCTCATAACATGAACATATTTGAAGGCTTGGGTGTTTGAAAAAAAAAATTAATTTCACTGTTATGCAGAGTTACCAATGGCAGAAGGCCAAAATTCTGTCATAGACACATGCCATTGTGAGCCACCCTTCAAAATTTGCCTACAATGGTTGAAAACAAATCTGGCAATTCATTCCAACATGGCGGCACAATTTAACAACATTGCCATTATGGATTATTGATGAGAAAGGAAATGACTCCTTTTCAAGATTCATTAAACTGGTTCAGCCTTAAATTAATTACTTACCTGTTGCTTTGGCGAAAATCATATCCAAAGCCAAAAAGTGTTTTCCCTTCTTGATACCCCCACTTGCGCATTTCAACAATCATGTCATGGAAATAATACACAGCCTCACCTCCAATCATCTGTTCAAAAGAATATATACAACTCATGAAAAAATTTCTTGGACATCAGCATTGCAATTTGAGAAACTCAGTTTAAAACAGGCATACCAAGTCAGGGTCCAAAATATCAATTGCATAGAGTCCATGCCTATCTTCAGGAATCTTAATTGTTGAATTTGGATCCATAGACTCAGTTTTTCCTGGTTTCAAAAGTAGATTATTGTGGATGTTTAGATCACCAAATTCAAAGTTTCTCATAGCACACGCTTCAGCTCAAAAAACAAATTATCTCAGTAAAGCAATAAATAAACTGGCCAGGCACAGAGGCTTGGATACAGCACAAGCGTTAAAGACACAAGAGTGCAATTTGGGGCAATTTGGAAGAGCTTCTGCAGAGCTTGCTTGGAGTTATCATGTAAAAACTCAAGCTTAAATTGAAGGTTAACTAAGAAGTAGCCAATATTTAGTTAGCCAGTGTTTGTTTGCACATCAAATTCGTGAGTCAAGTGACATTTTCATGTCAATAACACAAAATATAAATCAGAAGCTACTATTTCAGCTTTTGCTTGATGCGAATCAAATACTGCTACATGCTGCTACATGTCAAAACCAAACATACAGACAACGAGCTACACGGGGAAGCTTCAAAAGACATAAACTCTTATCAATCAAACACTTCAAATTTCTTGTTCAATCATAAAATTTATTGCTTCCCGGTCTAAATGCGGTCATTAATTAATTATTGCAAAGTGAGGGAAAAAACAACGCACAACTTGCGTTTTATCACATAAACCTACAATTTTCATTTTTTTTTTTCTTTTTAAAGAAAAACAATACACATACGCTGATCATATATATCATTTTTATCTTAATCCGAAAAATCTTTACATGTATCAACGAAGACCAAACCGTTATATAAGCAACAGGTGCAACTAAACAGCATGTGTTTCAACTTTCAACAAGCTTAATTTTTGTAAAACGAAAATTAGGTGTACCGGTGGAAGGATCATAACGCGACCAAAGCTTGGTCTTCAGCTTATACTCGGCGCTGAGGAAGCGAACCCAAACGCGTTCCTGGCTCCCATCCGCGTCACTAACGGCGTGCAAAATGGAGCCGCCGACACCGGGCACCAGCAAAACTGGGTCAAGATTAGGGTTGACGTAGGCCTCTGGCTGCGGCTTCTTGATCAATTTGAGCCACAGCTCCACGGATTGGAGAATTTCGCCCAACAAGAACGCCATCAGGAATCGCAAGTTAGGGTTTGGACTAGTTCCGTGATTTGGGAAAGGTACTGTTATGTTGCGTAAATAAGTTATTTTGTTCACGATCAGCTTGCCAGCACAGCTCTGCGTTGCACGGAAGGTTCAGAGTTTGAGGAAGAAACCATCGCTAGGAATTAAAAAAAAAAAAAAAAATCAAAGCCACTTGTCAAGATTACCATTAATCACGTTCTGAATATAAAAACAATAAAGTTGAGGTATTAGTTAGTAAATGCTGTATTTCTTAAAATTGCAATCAACAACTAATTTAATCCATAATTGAGTTTGGATAGGTTCATAATTGGATCTTAGACCGTTGACATGGCACAACAACTAAATAATGACGAAGAGAGACCGTTGACATGGCACAACAACTAAATAATGACGAAGAGAATCATGTCTAAAGAGGCTTTGCTATTTCTAGCACATTTTTCCTAAGTTTACCCACTATAACTTTTAAAAAAATTGGTTTCAACGTTAATATCTTAAAACGTTTATTATTATTATTATTTGGATAAATTAAATGAAATACGTAACATAACATCTTTTTTCATCATATACAATTACACAATATTCCTTAGATAAAAATATTTGATCTTGTTAAATTTGTGTTATACCAAATTTGTTTGCCAGTTCATGATTAAAATGAAGCAAATTTTTAATATATTATTTACGTAAGATATGTGACCTAAAAACTTATATCAATTTCAGAAAACGTGAACTCAAAGTATATATTAAAACAAAACTAAACCTATTAAATTCACTACATAAAAATATTTGTATTTTAACATATTCCAAAACTAAATCATTAAATTTGTACTACGTTGAATTATCGAAATGCATAAGGTAACAAAATCATCGATCAATTTACAATTTCATGAAATTGCGCAAACAAACTTAACGTTCTTCACAAAATAAATTTTAAATTTAAAAATATTTAAAATAGGATAGCTAAAAATTATCACTATACTTATAAAAAAAACATTTAATGATGATTTATATGTTTGCAATTAATGATTTTGAACTTAATTATTTTTGTGTTGGTTAAAATTTTAATTGATATAAAAAATATTTATATATCTATTAAAACTTGAATTAACATAAAAAGTTGTCTTTATATTAAAAAAATCACTTTTATTTTGTTTTTTTAAGATGTCTTTTTTTATGAGTGTTTGTTATTCTTCTTTCTCCTATTGTTTGATATTCTTCATGTTATATATTCATCTTTCTCGTGTTACTTTTTTTTACCATATTGATTATTTGTCAGGAGGTAAGCACTTTTTTCCATAATTGTTAAATCAATAAACTAAAATACTTGTTTCTAGGTAATTTTTTAGTTTGTTTTTATCAATTTGGGAAGGTAAAATCTTGTGTCATTTTGACTGTGATGAATTCCCTTGTTATATGGATTATTTTACAATTAATAAATAAAATTTAATTAAGCTTTTTATATCACATAGATATATTGTAAAATCAAAATAGTAAAACTAACATATGTGATAATGTTATTGTTAGACAAATGTTTAAGACTAATATTATAAATGATTAAATACAAACTAAACCTATTTCAAGTTATTAATAATTTATATACTCTACTCTCATTTTAAGCACATGTACATTGTTTATATTTATTTTATTTACATGTAATATTTAGATCTTTCATTTGAAATAATTATGTTTTTTGAGATGTTTACTATTCTCTTTTTAGGTTCAATGAAGAAAGAAAATGTCCATGAAAAATTAAGAAAATATTATTATAGAAAATAATATCAAAAGATAATATATTTTTTAACATATTAAATTGAAAAACCAAATTGTCAGTCAGATAAACAAATTACATTTATTAAAAAAGCTAAATGGTAAAAAATATTTAGTAATATTTATTGTTTAATGATGTATTTTTTTTTTTTTCAAAATCTCAGACAAAACATGGAACTCCTCATCATATTTAAGAAATGAGAATCATAGATTAATTAAGAAAGAACTCCAACAAGCACTCCCATTTTTGCTAGAACAACAAGTATTATGTGAATACAAAATATTCCAAAATATTATAGAAAATTACTTCAAAGTGAATTTTACATTTTTATATTATTGTTTTAGAATATTATTTTAGTCAAACACTTTTATATCTTTTTAAAAGTGGACATAAAATCATAAGAGATTATTATGAAAAGTTATTTTTTTAAAGGAGGGACCAGATTTCTTCTACTCCTCAATAAGTTTGGACCTAACTAAGACATGTACACCACTCTTGTTACAAAACTCAAAATTGGGAATTTCAAAAAGTTAAAATTCACAAATTGAAATATAGTTTTGAGATCAAAAGAGGTATGTAAAATTGTAATTATGAACTAAAGTAACTATACAGAATTATGGAATTGACAAAATGATTGTTTATAAAAGAAAAACCAAAAAATTGTAAAATTAGAAATTAGAAATTTTGACTTGTAGAATTACAATTAAAATGAAAAAAATTATAAGGTTAGGCATTACAAACAATAATGTTTGATGAGTCTTGAATCTAAATCACAATAATTATAAAATTATTAATAAAATCAAATGGCTCAAGGAAGAATTCTACTAGATAAATTTCAAATTTCAAATGATATTCAAAAGGTTTTGTCATTTAATTTATTACCAAAATGATTTATACAATGTTTTCTTATACTTTAAGGTATATATATATATATATATATATATATATATATATATATATATATATATATATATATATATATATATATATATATATATATATATATATATATATATATATATATATAAACCTAACCTAACAAACATGATTAAAGTGTCTTAGTAGTTAGTAAGATCTAGTGAAACTTGAAGTAAGAGTTCCGATACAGCGGGTCACCAACTATGAAAAACTTCACTTTAATAAAAAAATTAACTCATTTCACTAAAACCAACTTCAAAAATTTTGAAGATGTCCTAAGTTCAAGTATTTCCATATTCTAATTAATGATGATATTACCAAAGAAGGAAAAATCCTAATAATCATTATTTTATATTTTATACACTTTTTACAAAGAAAAATAATATAATTCAATTTCAAGAATATAAATACATAAAAATTGGCTAAGACTTATTGTTGTCATTGATCTTCCTAAAGCTTGTATTAGATCCTAAACTTGATAATTGTCTTGGACTTGAGCCTAGTTTTTAATATCTACCTCATTATCTCATTGAAAATCATTTGTCCTCAAATATAATATTCATTACCTACATCAAAATGAGATTGACTAGTTAAATTAAAACTATTACTTACATTATATTCATCAAGCAAAATAAGTTTATCTTCGTCTTTAAATTTAATGTCATTACCTACATCAAAATGAAATAGACTAGTCACATTAAAACTATTACATATATTATATTTATCAAACAAATTATTTTTGTAGACATTATTATTTATCTTGGCCAATACTTGAAAAATACCTCCCTACTTACCATAAGCTTGGACTTTCTTTATGAAGGGAACCACTCTTGCTTGAAATCACCTAGTTCAAATGTTATATTTTTCCTTTTTTTGTTTTCATATTCAGCTTATAATCTTTAATTTTCTTCTTAATTTGAGTCTTGACTTTCTCATGCAACTTATCAACTTATTCTACTTCAATTTTCCCAAACTTATCTTTTAAATTTAGAAATGTTAGGTAAAGAAAACAAATCTAAAACGATTAAAACCATAAACTACTTCAAAGGATTACAAATGATTTGTATTATGTATAGCCCTATTATATGCAAATTTAACATGTGGTAAACACTCTTCTCAAGTTCTGAGATTTTTCTTAATGATAGTTTTAAAAAACGTAAAAATAGTTTTATTCACCACTTTCATTTGTTAATCAATTTCCACTTCAATTTGTTCATCAATTTGGGGGTGACAAGTTGTTCAAAAATAACAATTTAGTATAAATATGATTTCACAATGTTCGCCAAAAGTAGTTATTTAGAATCTCGATCGCTTACAATACTTTTAGATAATCCATGCAATTTTACCACCTCCTTAAAGAACAAGTGAACAACCTGACAAATATCATCTACTTTACTACAAGGTAAGTTATCTTAGAAAACTTTTCAATCACCACAAAAAGTGAATCCTTTCCTCCTTTGGGTCGGGGTACACCTATAGAAAAGTTCATAGAAATGTCAATTGAAGGATATTCTAAAACAGGTAATGGAGTATACAAATCATGTGACATGAACTTATATTTAGCCTTCTTGCAAACAATGCACTTATAACAAAATGTATGCACATCGTGTTTCATATGAGGCCAATAAAAAATGTCACATGTCTTTTTCACCCCAAAATGACCCATTAATCCCCTTTCATGTGCCTCTTTTACAAAAAATTTCCTAATTGAACTCTTAGAAACACAAAATTTGTTTATCCTTAATCAAATATTCATCATTTTAAAGTAACCCTCATATGCAATATGAGAACATGAAGTATAGATATGAAAAAAATCAACATCACGCTCGTACAATTTCTTAATGAACTCAAAAAACAAGAAACTTAGGTTCAAGAGCAAATACTAAACCAAACATGCATGACAAAGCATCAAGAACCACATTGGAGTTACATTTCTTATGTTTGATCATATATGGGAATTGTTTAAGGAACTTCATCCACTTGACATAACTCTTATTCAACTTACCATACCCTTTCAAATACTTTAAAGATTCATGATTTCTATGAATGACAAATACTTTAGGCAAAAAATAATGTTGTCATAATTGCAATGCATGCATATAATTCCTTGGAATATGTTGGGTAATTAAGGGAAACCATATTTAGTTTCTTAATAAAATAAGTAATTGGGTGTCCCATTTGCATTAGTACAAATCATACTCCCATCCCTTCATGCATCACATTCAAGTTCAAATCACGTAGCCAAGTTAGGCAAAACAAGCATGGGTGCATGTTTTAGTTTATTTTTCAAAACAACAAAAATTTT